GGGCTCCCGCCGACGTCCTGATGCGCCGGACGGGCCCCTGCCGGGCTCCTGTCGATGTCGAACTGCGGCGACTCCTCCAGCAGCGCTGGGTGGGTCCGCGAGGGGAACTCCGCCGGGCTCCCGCCGATGTCCTGATGCCCCGGTCGGGCCCCTGCCGGGCTCCCGCCGATGTCGGCCTGCGGCGACTCCTCCAGCACGTCACTCAGGGAAGCGACCCGAACTCTCTTCGCGCCCAGCTTCAGGGAGGAGAACGCCGGCCGCTGATTGGAGGACTGGATCACGTGGGCCGCGCCGGGCCGGACCAGGTCCCGCACGTACTTGTACACCTGGAGAAGGCAGGTGATAAACTGTAAACACCTGCTCAGGTGCGAACTTACGTGGTCATTCGCCTCAAAAGTAACGCCCTCCTTTCTTAGCACTGGAACACCTGTGCGGAAGGCGTTACTTTTGTACTTTTGCCTCACAAGAACAGATCTCCTATCTACCTACATTTTTGTACCTATTTCCTAGTCCCATGACCGGCGCTGGTCCAGCTGTGGTCAAATTGCGAATGTCCATCAACAATTCCCACTACATCAGTTTCAGCAGCGTTTTCAAGCCGAAAATGTAAGAAATGGTCTTGTGCAAATGTTCTTGGTTTTAGCAAACGAACTTAACTTTAAGGAGACGAGATGATTTTTGCCTATATATAAAAAAACTCAAACAAGATGCTTTCAATCCAAGTTGATTGACATGGCAACTTTTCATAAATTTTCATTACTTTTCAATACATAAGATGCATTACAAACTTTTCAACAATCCCTTTTGAAAATGTTGCTTTACTCACCAGCGCGTACAGGACACCCATGACCACCACAGCTGAAAGAAAAATGGCGGCCGTCACGCCGTAGTACATCCGGGACATCTCCGGGCTGGCCGTGTCGCAGAGGCTGATGGGATCGCACGATGACCTTGCCGTGAAGCCGTGGACTTGACCGTGAGTAAAGATGGCGGGAACGGCGGCGACGCAGCCCAGGACGGCCGAACCCGCCCCTGCAGCCGCCACGGCCGACTTTCTGCGCAAGGGAAGGTGACGTCTTATTAACTTAAGCGTAGAAAGACATTTACCGGATATAGACAGAAAACTGTCTATAACATTTGGTAACATTTGCAAAGAAAATGCATATTTTTTACTTTCGCATAGCAAAGAAAATGCATATTTTTACCTTCGCATATGGTCTGCTCTGTTAATTCTTACTCAAACACATTCATATATGTGCTGACAGCAGGAGTCCAAATCCCTCCTGCTATAAAATTGCAACATGATGTAACCCAATACTAGTTACCATGGTTACAGACGTCTCGTTCGAGTCATTGAGGTCATTGTTTGGAGAAGAAGAGGAAACTTTAAACATAATAAATCAGTTACTCCGGCAACAGGATCTAATCCGGTTGCTTGAGTAGCTGATTTCGTATCAACAGCTACTGGAGACAGGAAACATAATGTTCAACAATCACACAACGTTATCATCTTGACACAGTCGCATAACAGTCATATCCAACAGCCCTGTAGCGGCCCTTACCTGACAGAAAAGTGTTGTACCGGTTTGCACACTGCACTGTAGCGGTCCTTACCTGACAGAGAAGTGTTGTACAGGCCGGCACACTGCCCTGTAGCGGCCCTTACCTGACAGAGAAGTGTTGTACAGGCTTGCACACTGCCCTGTAGCGGCCCTTACCTGACAGAAAAGTGTTGTACCGGCTTGCACACTGCCCTGTAGCGGCCCTTACCTGACAGAAAAGTGTTGTACCGGTTTGCACACTGCACTGTAGCGGCCCTTACCTGACAGAGAAGTGTTGTACAGGCTTGCACACTGCCCTGTAGCGGTCCTTACCTGACAGAGAAGTGTTGTACCGGCCGGCACACTGCCCTGTAGCGGTCCTTACCTGACAGAGAAGTGTTGTACCGGCTTGCACACTGCCCTGTAGCGGTCCTTACCTGACAGAGAAGTGTTGTACAGGCTTGCACACTGCCCTGTAGCGGTCCACCGTCGCGGCCAGCAGAACGAAGGTAGAACTGAGGAGACTTGCGGCTGTGAGGTACGGGTTCAGCCGGCACCACACCTGTCCCGTGTACGTCCCGTGGTTCAGTTCGTAAAGCTTCAAGGGCACGACGACCGCGCAGACCACAAGGTCGACCACGGCCAAGGTCAGAACAAAGATGGTGGCCGAGGATTTCTCCCTTCGCCTCGCGCTGACCAGAACCGTCAGGAGATTACCCAGCGTGCCCAGCGCGCAGGAAAGCGAGAGGAAGACTGTGACGTGGACGTTCTCCCCTGCGTACAGAGAGTCTAAGACGCTTCTCAGCTGATCTAAAGGAGCCGACGCGCAGGTGACGTTCTCAGCTGAAGACGGTAGCGTCGCGGTGGCGGCCATTGTGGAACTGGCTATACTGTTGGTGTACCCATTGCACGGCAGTTCTGCAAGGCAACGGGAACAAGGAACGCAAACACTGGTTTAACCCAGGTTTCAGCACAAGACAAACTACTGAAGAGGTCAATAGACTAACGGCAGTATATCAAAAGTCGGCAGGTTTATGGGCCGGTCCACAGTTAGACGGGACTTTGCGGCGAACGTGGAAACGTTTTTTTTTGGTTAAGGACGTTACCCACAATAAAGACCATTTTCTTAACGCCTCTCCGATTTTTTCAGACAACAAAGGTTCAGAATGGGATTGGGAAGACGTCTGTGTGGTGAAAATTGTTGAAGTGCTAGGCCCTCCCCTACTAAAAATGGTATTGCCTGTTTAGATTTCTCCGCCTGCGAACTGCGTCACACCGGGTCAGCGTGTGTTGGTTTAGGCTATCGGTGATGGGGTTTAATGGGGTTGTTTGGGGGAGTTTGCGCCGGTAGGACGGGCTGTTGGGTTAGTTAACAACTGCCGAGGAACAAAGATAGTAATAAAAGTGTGGCTGCGAAACGGGTTGTCGGGTGATTGATGTGGTCATATCTGTTCCTAATGCAAAAAGCATTATTTTTTGCCCACTACCATACAACCGGTAAATCTCACTCACTCACTCACTCACTCAGTCACTCAGTCACTCACTCACTCACTCACTCACTCACTCACTCACACACTCACTCACTCACACACTCACTCACTCACACACTCACTCACTCACTCACACACTCACTCACTCACTCACTCACTCACTCACTCACTCACCCACTCACACACTCACTCTCACACACTCACTCACTCACACTCACTCACTCACTCAGTCACTCAGTCACTCACTCACTCACTCACTCACTCACTCACTCACTCACATTTACTCACTCACTCACTCACCCACTCACTCACCCACTCACTCACTCACTCACTCACACACTCACACTCTCACACACTCACTCACTCACTCACTCACTCACACACTCACTCACATCACTCACTCACTCACTCACTCACACACCCACTCACTCACTCACTCACTCACTCACACACCCACTCACTCACTCACTCACTCACTCACTCACTCACTCACTCACTCACTCACTCACTCACTCACTGAAAATTACGTTCTTGGATACTTGAAGACTATTCCAGAACCATGCCCGATCCTATAGCTAACCCTAACCCATTCAGGTATAGAACTAGCGATAGGCACAAGAGTCCGTCCGTCAAAGCTAATTGAAGCCGTTGTTTACTGTTGATCCGACCCTGATGGGGCTGTTTATGTCTGCACCACTCCGCGCTCTCTCCGTGACCTGGGGAAGTCGAATGGTTGCTAAGGAACGGCACATGTTTGACACTAAAAGCACCCCAATGGCGTTGCTAAGCAACCGTGACGTCACCAGAGTCCCAATTTATCGTCTGTGTACGTTTTAGGAACACCCACGGGATGTCTCCACCCGACGGCGGAATGCTGGAAAAATACAAGTTTGCCGGGGGGAGGGCGAATTATATGCCAGAGGAGTAGTTAGATTCAGTTCAGTTCAGATTTTTTTGTTCAAAAAATTTTTTGTTAAATTTTATTTAAATCAACTGGCATGTACACAGATTCACAGAAAATGTGACATGAAATTCGTTGACAATTACATTAAAAGCTCTCAAAATGTGACATGAAATTCGATGACAATTACAGTAAAAACATGAAGACAACGACAAGATAGTTAGATAGTTAGTTAGTAAGTTAGTTAGTTAGTTAGCTGGTTGGTTAGTTAAAACCATTCTTTATTTACTATGTCGGTCATAGAAGGTTGACATCAGTGGCTAATTTCTCCTTTTTCCCAGCTGAGATGTATAAACGTGTAAGGGCGGTTATATATATATATATATATATATATATATATATATATATATATATATATATATATATATATATATATATATATATATATATATATATATATATATATATATATATATA